CGCCTACCACCTCGTCTGCCTCGACCCCGAGCTCGACCGGGCGCCCGAGGGCCGCTGGAGCTGCCCCCACTGCGTGAGTGCCACCCTGGCGCAGTCCCAGGGGCGTCCCTGGGGTGGCCTGGAGGGGTTTGGGGATCCCTGGGGTGTTCCTAGGGTGTTCCCGGAGGTTTAGGGTCCCTTGGGTGTCCCCAGGACATCCCCGCAGGGTTCGAGGTTCCGTTGGGTGTCTCTAGGGTGTTCCCAGGCGTTTGGGCTTCCCTAGGACATCCTAGTGAGGTTCGAGGTTCCCTTGGGCTGTTCCTGGGGGTCCGGGGGTCCCTCGGGGGTCACCGAGCGGATGGGGGTGCGCTGACCGAGTCCCCGTGCCCCCAGGAGAAGGAGGGGGTGCAGTGGGAGGCCAAGGAGGAGGAGGAGGAGTACGAGGAAGAGCTGGAGGAGGAGGGCGAGAAGGAGGAGGAGGACGACCACATGGAGTACTGCCGGGTGTGCAAGGACGGGGGCGAGCTGCTGTGCTGCGACGCCTGTATCTCCTCCTACCACATCCACTGCCTCAACCCGCCCCTGCCCGAGGTCCCCAACGGCGAGTGGCTCTGTCCCCGCTGCACGGTACGGGGACAGCGTGGGGACACGGGGACGCTGGGGGACGTGGGGACGGGCGAGCGGCTGTGCTGTGACGCCTGTATCTCCTACTGCATCCACTGCCTCAACCTCTCCATCCGAGGTCCCCAGCAGCAGGTGGCTTTGTCACTGCTACACCTGGGGACAAGGACAGGGATGGGGATGTGACGGGTGCACTGGGACAGGGACAAGGAGGGGGACAGGACAGGGTCCTGACGGTGACAGGGATGAGGAAGGGACAGAGCTGGAATGGAGACAGGGAAGGGACAAGGTTGGGGAGAGGACAGGGACAGAAATGTGGGGACAGGGACACAAATGGGGACAGGAATGGGGATGGAAATGAGGTGGGGACAGTGACAGGGAAAGGGAGGGGGCAGGAATG